AATTCTGTTTGCCTAAAATGTAACTGAAGAAGAAATGTGTTTTGGTTATGTTATGGTTCTATAAAAGGCAATATTTTTCAAACGTTTTGCCCCCTGCAATGGAATCTTTCCTTCAGACGAATGTACAAGGAAGTGCAGTATATATAACAGATAAATGCAGAACTACTGTGGTTGATGCAGGATTCAGCCTCACTGTCGCTAAGTCTTGGTCCCTGAAATTCACTTTCCTTTTGGGTTGACATAACTAGTTAATCACTGCTGCCATCACCCATTCTCTCTTGAGGGGGCGCTGTCCACCTTTACTGCTGTATTGCAAAGGGAAGGGGTGGATACACAACTCTGGTCAGGTCCCTAAGACCAGAAGGGATAACAAGTTATTCCCAGAAGGGAATAAACGTAGCAACAGGGGGGAAAAAAAAAAAAAGGAAAACTAGTGGTTCTGAAAACTATTCTGTGGATCAGTGTGGGCTGGTTGCATAAGAATCACCTGGGAAATATAAAACAGATGAATTAAAACAAAAGAAAACAAAACAATCTGGGAGCATTCCTCAGAATTCCAATTCAGTTGCCCTTGAGCAGGTCCTGGAATCTGTATATTAAAGAGCTGCTCAGGGCTTCCCTGTTGGCGCAGTGGTTGAGAGTCCGCCTGCCGATGCAGGGGACACGGGTTCGTGCCCCGGTCCGGGAAGATCCCACATGCCGCGGAGCAGCTGGGCCCGTGAGCCATGGCCGCTGAGCCTGCGCGTCCGGAGCCTGTGCTCCGCAACGGGAGAGGCCACAACAGTGAGAGGCCCGCGGACCGCAAAACAAACAAACAAACAAAAAACAGCTGCTCAGAGGATTAGGAAATTTGCAAAGCTGAACCCCACTCTGCCTTCAGCTCCAGACTGGTCTCCTCCTTTGGCAGAGGGTGTCCCTCCCAAACACGGGGAAGGAAGCACATCCAGGTATGGGAAGAGGGTCCCAGGGAGGGACAGGAGTTTCTTCCCTGCCTAAGGCTTGCCCCTACAGACTGGCTTCTTATGGAAAATCTGTCTCACTCCCATTAATTGCCATTAGGAGTCTTCACAACCTTCTGCACACAGGGCTGTGGCCTCACCCTCTGGCTTTAATGGAAGAAGCACAACGGAACACAATTCATTTAACCTCCCCCAAAGTGAAGCCACAGATGGGACCTGAGGGATTGCTTTCTTTTCACTAATCTGGGAACTGTTTCCCTGAGGTCTAAGATTTTTTTTTTTTCTTTAGAGATGTGCTCTAAGTCTAATGATCCATTTAAAGGAACAACCACGGCCACTAAACCGCTTGGAGAGAACCCTTAAGACTTTGTGTGACTCTGCGTTCCTCCCAGTCCTGGCTTGTTCCAGAGTCAGGCAAAAGGGAGCCCAAGGGTGGGTCTGAAGGAGAACATGAGTGTCCTTGATGCCTGCAAGAGCTGTGCGACTTTCTGGAGTGATTGTTAGGACACGGATGGACCGACAATTTTCTGTGCTGCCTAAACTAAGAAAGCATTGTGTTGAAAACATTTTTAAACGTTTCATTTAAACAAAGTGACAGGGTCATTCTAATCCTTGACTACTTTAGTTTTCCAAGGAACACAGGAGCCTCCAAAGAGTTGGCCAGTTTTTATGGGAAAGCACTTCTGGACTTTTCTTCCTGTATGTGATGTTTCTAGAAGGGCTGATGAGTGCCTGCACCCTTTCCATGTTCTACTCAGACAGTCTTGTGATATAGAGCCTGGCACGGACTATAGAATAGCCTCCTTCTTGGGGTGGCATTAGCTCTCAGCCTAAACCCATGACCTTGCTTGCATAATCAGTCCGGAACTGGCCCCCAAATAGATGATAATATCCTAGTTTCCTGGCTTACTTGGCTTTCTTTTTGTTCTCCTTTATCCCATTCTCTATCTTTCTCTCTGAATTCTTTCCATATTCTCACGTGGAGAGAGCTTGTGTTCAAATCCTATCACTTCCTGGCTGTTTGACTTTAGGTAGGTCCTTTAACATCTTCAAGCCTCAGCTTTCTCATCTTTAAATTGGAATTATAATAGTGCCAATCTCATAAGGTGGAGTCAGGACTGGTTACATAATTTGTGGGGCCCCTTGTTTAAAAATTATTAAGAATTTCAAAATGGTGATAGCAGGGTATTAAACCAAGTGCGGGGCGCCTCTCAGCACAGGACGCTGTGTGACTGCTCAGATCACACACCCATGACTCCATGGAATCAATGAGATCAGAAGTATTACCATTGCTCTTATTATTTCATGTCTTCTACTTCCTCTTTGTACTCTAGATTTGCCAATAACAGCCAAACATGCCTCCATAAACACACACACACACACACACACAAACGTATTATTCAGTTGTTCTTAGGGTCTCTTAGGTGGAGTCTCTGTGGAGTTTGCATTTTTTTAAAAAAATTTCTTGCTTGAACCTAATGACAGAAATCCCTAGGTATAAGTGATTTCCTAGAACGTCTACATTTATACATTCTACTTTTCCTTTGATCCTTTTCCATGTTTATATCTGGGTGTAATTTTACCAGTTAATTTTGTATTCTCTTGATTTCCATGTTGTTCCATAGTTTTCCTAATTTAGTTTTTAAAAAGAAAATCACTTTAAAAATTAATTAAATGTTAGTTCATTGTTAACAATTAAAGCAGAGGCTCGGGCTTTCCTGGTGGCGCAGTGGTTGAGAGTCCGCCTGCCGATGCAGGGGACGCGGGTTCGTGCCCCGGTCCGGGAAAATCCCACATGCCGCGGAGCGGCTGGGCCTGTGAGCCATGGCCGCTGAGCCTGCGCGTCCGGAGCCTGTGCTCCGCAACGGGAGGGGCCGCAAAAGTGAGAGGCCCGCATACCGAAAAAAAAAAAAAAAAAAAAAGCAGGGGCTCTATATCCTGAAGAAGGAAACAGGCTAGGGAGGGAGGGAATAAGGAGCCAAGACCTGGAGAGAAAGACAGAGGAGAGATTTCAAGGGATTAAGTGTTTTTGGTGAGTGGGGTTTGGGGTCCTAGATGAGTGAAGAGCATACTAGTTAATAATGATGATAATAATAGCTAACATGTCGTGCTGAGGTCTTTACGGAGCTCATCTCATATGATCTTCACAGTAACCTAAGACAAGAGACGTGATTGGTATCACTAGTAAACAGAAGAGGAGCCCAAGGCATTGGGAAGTTAAGTTACTTGCCTTAGGTCATATAACTAGTAAGTGTTGGATACAAATTGGAGCTACTCAGGCAGGCTACTGCAGAACTTGTACTCTTGTGTGTTTTGTGTTTTGTTGTTATGGCTGTTATTGTGACTGAAGTATTTTAAAGCAAGTTCCAGTCCTTATGTCTTTTCACCCCTACATACTTCGTTATGCATTTCTAGAAAATATTTTCTACATATTTTCTTATGCAACTATAGTACCATTATGATACCTAACAAAATTAGCAGTAATTCCTTGATATTACGTATAATCCAGTCATATTCAGATTTCCCTCATTATTTCAAAAATGTCTTTCTTTAATCTTGATTCATACACACCAGGATACAAATAATGATCTATACATTGCAATGGTTGTTACATCTCAACATTATTTTAATCTACTACAGACTCACTTTTTTAAAAATGCCATTAACTTGTTGAAAAACCTGGTCAACTGCCCGGTAAAAGTACCCAATTTGAATTTGTCTGTTTGCTTCTCCATGATATCATTTAACTTGCAGAATCTGTAATCTCTACACTGTATGTTGCCTCCTTTGGATATGTTGTTCTGGATCATCCAAAGCAAATGTTTGTTATCTCTTTGAAAGATAACGCGAAAGGTTTGATTTATTTCTCAATACCTTTGCTTTGGATTTGTTTTTAATAGTTTTTTTTTTTTTAGATGTTGGGGGTAGGAGTTTATTAATTAATTAATTTTTGCTGTGTTGAGTCTTCGTTTCTGTGCGAGGGCTTTCTCTAGTTGTGGCAAGTGGGGGCCACTCTTCATCGCGGTGTGCGGACCTCTCACTATCGCGGCCTCTCTTGTTGCGGAGCACAGGCTCCAGACGCGCAGGCTCAGTAGTTGTGGCTCACGGGCCTAGTTGCTCCACGGCATATGGGATCCTCCCACACCAGGGCTCGAACCTGTGTCCCCTGCATTAGCAGGCAGATTCTCAACCACTGCGCCACCAGGGAAGCCCTGGATTTGTTTTTAAATATCAGCCTTGTGTTTCCCCTAGGGATGAACCATCATTTATTTAACTATTTTTTCACTGCTGTTTTATATTTGGTTTACAGTTTTCTCCCCTTTTTACAATATGCTTCAGTGAACATCTTCACAAATATAATACTTTTTATCATTTCTTTAAAATGAGCACACAGATGTGGAGTTAAAAGTTATGATCATTTTAGTGGATCTTTAAATATATGAAAACTACTTTCCACAGGAATGCTTTTTTTTTTTAACTTTAAAAAATTAAAACTTAAGGTTTCTCAGATTCTGTTGGAAGATCCCATGGGTTCTTTGGGTAACCACAGACTCAGGGGGTGGGTGTATAATTGAAGATTGGCCCCTACGGTATTTCCTGATATCTTTCAGAGATGACAAAGGAGGTTGCATTGTATGACCCAGAACAACACGTCCAAGAGAGGCAACACACAGTGTAGAGATGAAATGAAGATAATTGAAGTGATGTCCAGATATACTGACTTAGTATGTTACAGTATTATGATTTGGGCTCATTTCAGTACACCTGTTTTAAAGGGGATTTTGTTTTCTTATGTTCTAATGGATTCTAGCTTGGTTGTTCTAATGAATTCTACAGAGAGCCAATTTAGATATCATTTCAAAAAGATTCTTAGTCAGCTGAAGTGTCATAAAGCAATGTAAAAACAAGAAATGAAAATCTCACCACTTTCCCAGTACTTGCTGTTACATTCCAGGTTGTTGTTTTTGTCTTGTTTTGCTTTTTTCATTAGATGATGTTTTACAGGTATCTTTTGTTCAGAATACTTTTTTTTGTCTTTAGGAATGAAGAATATACTACAATGGAGATTTCATAGAAAGGGTAAGTAATTAGAATATTAGTCTCACTGATTCCCTCACACCCTCATGCCTGCCTTCTTATCTAAGTCTGTAGCATCTTTTCCTTGCTTGTGTGATAGTACTTGCTGGCTATATTAGAGTTCAGCTAAGCTGCTGTAACAAGACACTCTAAAAGTGCAGTGGTTTAGCAACGTAGAAATTTGTTTCTCTCTCATATAACGGTTCCAAGGTGGTCCAGACATATGGGGCAGCCGTGCTTTATACAGTCATTCAGGAAATTGGGCTCCTCCAACTTTTTTTTTTTCTGAAAGCCTCTTTTTTTTTTTTTGATGTGGACCACTTTTTGTTTTTAACCACAAATTATTTATCCATTTTATTTTAACTTTTTATTTTATATTGGAGTATATCCGATTAACAATGTCGTGATAGTTTCAGGTGTACAGCAAAGCAACTCAGCCGTACATATACATGTATCCATTCTCCCCCAGACTCCCCTCCCATCCAGGCTGCCACGTAACATTGAGCAGAGTTCCCTGTGCTACACAGTAGGTCCTTGTTGGTTATCCTTTTAAATTATAGCAGTGTGAATATGTCAATCCCAGACTCCCTAACTGTCCCTTCCCTCCAGCCTCCCTGCACACACACCCACCCCCCTCCGGTAACCATAAGTTCATTCTCTAAGTCTGTGAGTCTGTTTCTGTTTTGTAAATATGTTCATTTGTATCATTTCTTTTTAGATTCTGCCTATAAGCGATATCATACAATATTTCTCTCTCTGTGTCTGACTTACTTCACTCAGTATGACACTCTCTAGGTGTGGACCACTTTTAAAGTCTTTTATTGAATTTGTTACAATATTGCTTCTGTTTTATGTTTTGGCTTTTTGGCCTCGACGCATGTGGGACCTTAGCTCCCTGACCAGGGATCCAACCTGCGCCCCCTGCATTGGAAGGCGAAGTCTTAACCACTGGACTGCCAGGGAAGTCCCTCCTCCAACTTTTGCACTTTGTCATCCCTTAGGATATAGTCCTTGTCTGTATGATTGAAGCTCTGCCCCTGCTATTCTGAGGTCCAGTTCATGAGAAAGAGAAAGAGGAGGTCTGTGACCATGGAGTTCCTTTTGACTCAGAAGTTGCACACGTCACTTCCACTCATGTTCCTTTGGTAAGAACTTAGTCAAATGGTCATACATAACTGCAAAGGAAGCGTAGAAGTGTAGTTTTTGGCTAAGCAGACGCATACCCAGGAAGAAGAGGAGAATAGATTTTGATGGGCAAGTAGCAGCCTGTGACATTATCTATGAAAGTGAGCTCTAGTGTCAGACAGACATGAGTTCCAGTCTTGCCTCTGCCACTGGCCAGCCATGTGACCTAGAACCATGATTTATCATCTTGATTTTCTCATTAGAAAAACAGAAATAATAATTTCTACTTTATTGGGATTGTTATGAGACTTGAATGAGTGAGTTCATGCGAAGTGCTTAAGAAGAAAGCACTGGTGGTTAGAAGCACAGAATTGGGAATCAGACTGGCAGAGTTAAAATCCTGGCTCTGCCTTTGCTAGTTGTGTGATTTTAAAGAAATTCCACAAAATTCTCAGAGATCTACTTTCTTCTATAAACTGGAGAGGCTATTAGTGCCTACCTATAGAAAGAATTCAATGAGGTCCCCCAATGCTGGAGTTTTTAAATGATTTATTCATGCTCAATAAATCATGACGGCGTTTTTGTAGTTATTATTATGTCTGTTCATTTTATAAACTCCTGAGTTTATCTCCAAAAAAGAAGTAGTAAATTTAATTGTGTAAGCATGCGCCTGTCATGAGTGCTGCGTTCTCTTAAACCTCTTGTTACTGCTTTGCTCCTTCATCCTCTTAACGTGTTTCGTATGCGGCTTGTACGCTAGTTCCTGTTTGATTTCTTGGGCAAGCTTCTACTGATGACTTTCTATTAAGTCACATAGACTGGGCTATTTAGTGTGAATTCTACAGCTTGTCTCAGAAGTTGAGCACAGTTTTTTCATAATGGTCTCAGTCTCATGCAGCCATTTGGAATGGATTTAGCTGGCCCAAAGAAAACGCTGTGGATAGCTAAGCAATGTAATAAAAACGGAAAACTCAGGGATGATACACGGCTGCTTTAACCTCAGGATATCCCTCTCTTGTATCATCGCAATGACCCTGAATTATATTTTTCAGGTCTAATTTTGGGATTTATTTGTAGAATTCTACTTCTCTGAGTTTATGCAGATAACCTATGGACCCATGATTGCTCCTGTTCCCTTCCATTGACCCTTCCATGATTCCCATGTGACTATAGGGACACTTTCCTCTTCCCCATCTTGCCACCCACTACTTACAGAGCTGACATGCTGCTATGTTGTACCATTGTGCTGTCCTGAATACTGTGGCATTCAGCCTGGCTCCAATGATATAAAATGAGGGGGTATAGATGCCTTTTTCAAACTCGAGACTAGCAAAAGACCAGACCCCCTTTTGTTTGAAACCATTGGAAGTGTAGTCTTGAGTTCTTGTTCTTTTAGAGAAACTGTGGGGTGGGTCCTTTTCTTTCCCACACACGCACTCACTGGCTGCTACAGTTTTGCATGGAGTAATTGAGCAAATGAAATACCAAACCTATGAAAGGTAGCATTATCAAAGTGAATGAACGAACACTTACCTAGCAGAACCATAAGACATGGAAAAATAGGAAGACAAGTTAATGATCTAGAAATTGTATAGCTTTGCTGTCTTAGAATCATGGCAGATGGAACATATGGCATCGGGTCATTTTTTGCATTGATATGAAAAGAAAATGAGTTTATTTTACAAATAAATGGAGTTTGTGTTTCTGTTTGCTGTTCATGACTATAATGTCTACTTCACTTGAAATGGAAATATGTCACCTAAATATTAAATATAGAGAAGGATTTTTTCAGCTGTTAATGAATAATTTTTCTTTACATGCCGTGACTTCATCCACTTCAGTAAACATTTTATGCTTTTCTCTTTGTTTGCTATTACTTTGTGTGATGAGGCTGTCTGTGAACAGAGGCATCTTAAGAAAAAAAGAGGGAATTGGTGAAAAGACAGACATGTTAAAATTATTATTTGCCTGAGTATTAGGATTTTAGATTAAGGCATAGAATCAAATTCACTTCGTATTCTCATGGATTTTTAGATAAAACAGTATTTCTATTTCCTATTTTGAGATTCAGAATAGGCCCCGAATTCCACTGAAGTTGCCATTAAAAAAATCTACCACATTCATTGTTGTCATTGTAGTGGCCATTTATTATTTTTAACTTCACAGCATCCTTACATCAGAAGCTTCTTTTCCTTGTGGAAACCACCCCTGCCCTATTCTCAGTTCATGTGACCCAAGCCTGGCCAAAGCCCACAGTAATTGGGTAAACAATGGGCTGTGTTTGAAGCCAGGTTAGTCCAAGTCAACTGTAAGACTTCTGAGTAAAAGGAGTTCCCTGTCCATTGAAATTTCTATTTTTTTTAAAATTTTATTTATTTATTATTTTTGGCTGTGTTGGGTCTTCGTTGCTGCGAGCGGCTTTCTCTAGTTGCGGCGAGCGGGGGCTACTCTTCGTTGCGGTGCGCGGGCTTCTCACTGCGGTGGCTTCTCTTGTTGTGGAGCACGGGCTCTAGGCACGCGGGCTCAGTAGTTGTGGCTTGTGGGCTCTAGAGCGCAGGCTCAGTAGTAGTGGCGCACGGGTTTAGTTGCTCCACGGCATGTGGGATCCTCCCGGACCAGGGATCGAACCAATGTCCCCTGCATTGGCAGGCGGATTCTTAATCACTGAGCCACCAGGGAAGCCCCATTGAAATTTCTATAGGGAATGAAGTATGAAGCTGACAGAGGTGGTCTGGGCTTCTACATGGTAGGAGTCTGCCTGAGATTGAAGCCAGCTCGGAGAAAATTGATCCAAGAGATGGAGAAAGACTCTGACCCTATTGTTTGAGCCTGAAATGAGATTACCCCTGCCATTGAATTTCTTATTTTACCCCCAGACTATTCTGAGCTTGTTTCATCCACTTACAGGTAGAAGAGTTCTGTCCACTACAATCATCATTTTCCTCAGGAAACATTTGTTCAACACCTGCATCATTGCATATTAACTACTTCACGTGTAACAGGAAAATACTAATTATTAATAGCAGTATTAATAGCACAGTAAGAATAGAAGGGGTGCCTGTTCCAGTTTCCCATCCAATGTAGAGCTCCCTTCCTCTTTATTCTTCATTGATAGTCACCTTAGAATCAAAATCGCTTCATTTTTTCAAGGATTTCAAGATACAGCAGTGTTTTATTTCCTATCCTGAGTTTCAGAAGAAGTCCTGAATTCCATTATCGTCCCTACTTTTTAAAAAATCCACTACCATGTCAAATAACACACTACTTTACAAAGTAGTGCATTCCAGTTTTCGAAAGTTCTAATTCTCAGAAGGTTTTTTCTTTTATTAAGTTGAAATATGTTTTATTTTTATTTCACTCATTGGTTCTAATGCTTGAAACCATGCAGATTAAAGCAAAGTCCTCTTCTACAAGATAGCACTTCATGTATTTGAAACACCAATCATATCTCTTCTCTGTCTTCTTTGCCCCCAGGTGCATAACTCCAGTTCCTTCTCCCATCCTTCACAAAATGGGGAATCCAGACACCTTGGTTGCTGTCACCTCAATTTACTTTTGTTTGTTAAATGTCCCTTTTAACCTGAGACCAGCACTGAGCTAGGACCTCCTTTGTTTTCCTCTAGACGCTCATATGAGGGCAGCCTTATACCGAATTATATTTTGGGGCTTCTAGTTCCCATCCACACTTTCTGATTCATAGCAAGCTTGCTGTGAGCTAGTACTTTTCCTCCCTCTCATCCCTCCCCCCTTTTTTTTGGTCCAAACAGTTCTTAAGCCAGGTCTGTGTTTGAGTTTTGATTATTTGAATCTGTTTTAGGACTTTACAAAACAACCATAAGCTTTTGTTCCCCTAAATATCCAACACCATGTGGAGGGTA